TGTGCGTGTGAGAGAGAGAGAAGGCAGCTACACCGCTTTTCTTGTGCGCGGGTTCGGCGTGTAGCGCTGGCTCTATCCTGTGACAACAAAAAGCAAGGGCTTGCTTTCACAGCACTATAAAGCACTCGTAAATTCTGACGTGTCAGATGAACTGGCGGAGATCTACGTTCGGTATTTGTTGTCACAGGATAGAGCCAGCGCTACACGCCGAACCCGCGCACAAGAAAAGCGGTGTAGGCTTGCTTTCACAGCACTATAAAGCACTCGTAAATTCTGACGTGTCAGATGAACTGGCGGAGATCTACGTTCGGTATTTGTTGTCACAGGATAGAGCCAGCGCTACACGCCGAACCCGCGCACAAGAAAAGCGGTGTAGGCTTGCTTTCACAGCACTATAAAGCACTCGTAAATTCTGACGTGTCAGATGAACTGGCGGAGATCTACGTTCGGTATTTGTTGTCACAGGATAGAGCCAGCGCTACACGCCGAACCCGCGCACAAGAAAAGCGGTGTAGCTTTGCTTTCACAGCACTATAAAGCACTCGTAAATTCTGACGTGTCAGATGAACTGGCGGAGATCTACGTTCGGTATTTGTTGTCACACGATAGAGCCAGCGCTACACGCCGAACCCGCGCACAAGAAAAGCGGTGTAGCTGCCTTCTCTCTCTCACACACACACACAACCTGCCCGTATCGTACGTACGCATACACCGGTCTATTACCGTTCTCACAAGAGGTTGACCTTTGGTGTATTCTCCACGCCACACACGACACAATGAACCCGTATCATGTTCAGCCTGTACAACAAAAATAAAACTCCTCCCTGGGAGGAAAACACCACGCACGACAGGCACCACGACGTCCGCCATGGCAATATTCAACTATTTGTTGTGGTATCTTCTGTCATGCATTCCGGTGACTCCCGCGATTGACTGGGTGGAGAAAACACCATCGAGATTTTTTTACGGTTGGCTGCCAACAGCACGAAGACGAGGAACCCTACAGTCTTCTCACTTGCGTGCTTCATGCACGGCCAAGACCACCTTCAACTCTTTCACAGGACACGCACACGTGAGTACATTAGGAGACAATCATCTCATTAAAAAAAAAAAAACGTCCTCGGCGCAAGGCGCACACGACGGTCTTGATGGGAAAAACAAACGCCAAATCGCTTACTGGTTCATGTCTACAAGGAAGAAACACGGGCTCCAAAATTCCAAATACTCGAGGCGTGCCATTAAAAGTAGTTGGCCTCTCATAAAACACGAGATTTGCAAACCATCAATGTGACAGACAATGGACATCGAGCTGTCCCCCTGCCGTAGCAGCCCAAAACACGTGCGGTATGCTTTCCAAAACCCACGGTTCACGTAACACATTCCGCCAGTCCATGGCACGTACCGCGGAACGGTCCCCGCCCACCCACCTCGCCGTCGAACTCCTCGTCGTACTGCGGGAAATACTTGCGAACCCCGGCGCCCACGAGTTTCTCGCAGGCATCGAGACGCGCCGCCTTGATCTTGCCCTTCCCCTTGTTAAGGCGTCCTTTCCTCCCCCCGTTGGTGCTGCTTTGGGATTCACTGCTCACGGCTTCCACGTCTTCGTCATCCAAGTCTTCGTTCGCTAGGTCCTCCGCAGTAACTTTGCCCCCCTTCGTCGCCTCGAACCTGGAAGCGTAGGTAGCAGTGGTTGGGGTTGGAGTGGGATTGGGTAGGGGTCAGGGCAGCTGGATGGTAGCCAGGAGCTCCCAGAGGGAGAGGTAAGTGGCGGCATGACGGGAGGAAGATGGGGGCTTCGGGGACCGGAGATGGTTGCGAACCGCGAAATGTTTGTCGCCAGTGCTGTTTTGGCGCCCTTGCCGACTCGGGAACATCGCGTAGATGTCAGGACACATGGCTTGACGAAAGAGACTAAAATCTGTGTGAAACGCATGTTTCTTCCCATCAAAGACACGCGGTTGATACGTGACAAATGACTGTCTTTTTGCTGCGGTTGTTGCTGTCTGTGTTGTTGTTCGAAACAGTGCAAAACAACATCAGCCCCGTACTCGAGGATGCCAGAAAACTGCTTGATCCAAGCACGAGCGTTCGGCTTTGAACCGACAGCATCGTACATATTTGTACGATCATCACCTGCCAGGCGCACTGCACATGGCCAGTCAAGTCCTACGGAGCTAGCTTCCGTTACGAGACTCATTGCCGCTCAATAACGCCAGCAAATGCCGCGCGGAGAGACCACGGTGTGCAGATGACGCAGAACAGAAGAGGCAACTCTGGCCGTGTGTGAGAGAGAGAGGCACATGCAGCTAATGGATCGTTGCCAGGACACGCTGCAGAAGACTCATCTATCCTATCCCATCCTACCCATTCCGACATCCGTTGCTTCGCATACCCTTTTACCATCGAAAAAAACATATTTTCTCAGGATCTGTGGACAAGACCTATCGAATAGATCCATTGTAGATGCCACCACACCAAATCAAACCTGTCCGCAAGCTCACGCTTGCACACGTGTACATGACCTCACCTCACCAACAAATCTGTTCAACAGATCTACTTCTGAAAATGTATCGATTTGCAGCAGGGTCACTGCTGTCGATAGCCGGCGGTTCTGATCCCCAACACGACCCATCTGTAGGACACATCCACCGAGATGTTGTGACAATACAAAACCACATCCGACACACAACGCACACGCATCGCACCTGTCCTCCAGATGCTTGTACTTGGTACACACTTCTAACAGAGCTGCCGAATAGAACTACAGCGGTATCAATGGTACGGTATCGCAAGACGTGTCCGACATAAACATCTGTAGCATTCTAGTATCGAGCTTCGACAACACCCGCATATCACTTACCTGTCATTGAGGTACTTGTACGTGTGCATGCAGTCCTTCATCTCTAGCTCGTTCAAGTCCTCCCGATCCCCGTCCTCATAGCTAAAACACACAACGAGTAGAGGCGAGGACGGGGGGAGGGGGGGGATCTCAAGCGTGCATGCAGGAAATCCACCCTGCTGGGAACGGGCGGGGGGGGTTGCAGGGTGTTGAATTGTACTGGGATCATTTCGGGGGTGTTCTATTTATACGGATACAATTTTCTTGCGATGGGTCTTTGCTAGATGTGGGAATAGCAACTGACATGCGAGTTCAATGTCAAGATAACAACAACAACAACAACATCAATATCAACAAGTGCGGAGCATGCATCAACACTATGGACCCATGACTTGCACGCACACACAGAGGGGATAATTGGTCATGGACGATTCGGGACCCTTTGTAGAAATACATGGCACACAATTACTTGATCTTCCAGAGCGTTCCTTTCAGTCCTTTGAAGCCTGACGGCTTGACCTCCACCACATCCCCGGTGAACACGCCTGCGGCGAACTCCTTCGCTACCTGGGAACAGCAGAGCAACAACAGGAGAAAACAAACATCGAGCAGCACAATTACAAAAAGCCCGAAAACTCTTCGTCACAATCACAGGAGAAGGCAAGCATCGAGAAGCACAACTCAGGCTATTAACACAAGCCCGATAAATTCTCCCCCCAAAATAAGATAAGACACAAAGGTACGTGTAAACATAGGGTAGGACGCGCGTTTCTCGCATGTTACAATCTATCTATGATAGCTATACCGTCCTTCGCCAACAAAAAACAACAAAATACGTGTTTTGAAGCAACGCACAAAATAGCAACTACGCGGCACGCACCTCGAGGGATTTTTATTTCCTGTTGGATCTTTGGTGTACAGCTCTTGTGGGGAGTAGAGAAATAGTAGACGTCACGTTTCGATTCGACCCAGCTTCTTTTTCATGTTTTGGATGCCTTAGCTGCTAATCCATTGACCACGCGTCCTCCATAAGACGGAGCAAGGGGAGGGTAGTCCACATCACGCACTACAAGACCCCCCTCTGGGCTATTCGCTGAGTCACAAGCCCGCTGCATACCCCCCCCCCCCCCCCCCCCACTCACCCGGACCCCCAGATCCTTCTCGTTGCCCTTGAGCGTTCTCGAGTCGCCGTCGTGGCCCTTGGCCTTGGTCTTCTTCCTCTTCTTGGCAGAGTATGCCGCGGACGGCGCGGGCGAAACAGCTCGTCGCTTTCCACTTCCGCCGCCGCCGCCGCTACCAGTCTCCTTGGAAGGGGTAACAACGGCTCCTCTGGGCGACTTCCTGCCTGGGCTCTTGTTCGAGACAGACTTTTCGCCCTTCCGTGGGGGTGTGTAGACTGGGGTAGCGTCTTTCCGAAGGCGGCCCCTGCCCTTCTTCTTCGCNGGGGGGGGGGGGGGGGGGGGGGGGGGGGGGGGGGGGGTACTTATGTTTTGGATGGCCTGATGTGGAATCATTCCTTGATCACGCGTCCTCGACAAGACGGAGCGTTGGACCGATCACCGATGGCCAATCTTCCATTCCTACTTTGGGTAGGTCCAGATGGAGGGACTGAATCGAGGTGGCTGTGTATGGTGGCTGTGGTCAGAAACCATCCCACCATCAAATGCCTCATTAAACTAGCGACCACTAGTCATATCCCACATAACAACATTGTAGAGCTAATCAAGCTGAGGTGCCCCTCGCCATAGACTGCGCGGGACCTGAAAGAGTCCAAGGGCTCTAACTTCACATACACTTGTTGTATGCTCGGGGGGCGTACTCTTATGTTTTGCATGCCTTAGCGGTTAGACCATTGACCACGCGTCCTCGAGAGGACGGAGCATTGTATCCACAGGACCGATCACCGATGGCCAATCATTCCTTTCTACTTTGCCAACGGTGGCTCAAAAATGTCTTCCCTAGTCTGTCTATCCTAACAATACCCCTTCCCGCCTTTTCAACCCACCTCCTTTGCCCCAGTACAGCTACCCTCTCTATTCCATGCCTCAAACATCTCCCTGTACGCCCCATCTATTTTTCCCAGCTCAGTCACGTAAACTTCCCTCTCCTTCTTGTACAACGGACATTCCGCGACTATATGAAGACGGTCTTCGCATTCAAAGACGCAATCACATTTGAACTCGTCGTCTTCGTCGTCTATGTCTTCGTCGACGTTCTCGAAGGCTTATGTCCCCAGTCCTGAATTTGACCTTAAGCTTTGTTCCTGCATCCATTGGTCCACGTAGGTAGTCCTAACGATATCCCTTCCCGCACAACATTCCGTACACTTCTAGACCCTCCTTATCCTTGGATTCTTTCCTCAGATTCTGTTCTTCTCTCTCGGCACAAGCAACAGATATCTTCTCCTTGAACCCCTGTAGACCCTCCGTTTCCAGCGTTTCATCTTCGTCGATGTCGAGCCCCTTCCATACGTCCTCTACAACCTTGACCCATTCCGTGGGTTGTCTACCCCTCTTTTTGTTTGCCCACTTCGCCTCCCATACAATCCTCGGCAACCTCTCCTCTCCCATCCCGCACATGCGATACTGCCAGGTCAGCTTCCTCGCGTCTCTTCCCGACCGTAGGGATTGGATCCCCAATTCTGCCCTCACGGCTGCATTACTTGTGCGCCTGGAGCATCCTAGGATGGTTTTCGCTGCTTTCATCTGCGCCGCCTCGAGTTCTTTCACTACCTTCTTATTTCCTTCCCATACTTCTCCGGCGTACTCTAGCGGCGGTACGATTACGCTCTTCAAAACCGTCAATTTGATGCGTGTATCGAGGTGCCGGTTTGCGAGTATTGGGTGCAGCTTCCCTGCTCGTGCTTTGCCCTTTTCCGCTACCTTGGACATGTGTGCATTCCACGAGCAGTCTTTTGCGATCTCTACTCCGAGGTATGTGTACTGGTCCACTACTGCAATCTCCTCGATCCCCCACTTCCATCTATGTTCTACTGGTTCCTCCTTGTTCTCGTTGCATACCTTGTTGTATGCTCGGGGGTGGGACAATACCCGGAGGTGGGAAATGCGTATGATACGTTTCTTGGCACAGTTGTGCTAGTGTCGGGTAAGAGTGCAACAATGGCTCCAAAACGAGAAGCATCATCGTGTTCACAGCAGCATAGTTTCCCTGAGCCCACCACCCCCAATTTAATGACGATCGCCCATGTCGCCACAGGCACCATTTCACTCCCTCAGCCATCACAATCACTGCTTTTTTGTCACCGACATCCATCTTCACCACCCCAACATCACCGACAACCACCTTGGCCAACCACATCCACCATCCACAGCCACCTACGACCTCATGAACTAACCAACACCCGCATCACCTTCACCAACCCCATCTCGCTAGACACCATACACAGCCACCCACAACCATCACCATCACGACCAACTGCACAGGCACCCACGGACACCACCCTCTCTTGAACCAACTAAAAACCACCACCACCACCCCAGCCTATCGCCGACATCCACCTACCGAGGGGAACTCCCTCTCCATTACCGCCTGGAGGTTGAGCTGCTTGTCGAGCTCGGGTCGATCCACCACCTCGTCCTCCCCCCCGCTGTTGTTCCCCTCGCCATCGCCATCGTCGCACTTCTTCTCGTGCCTGAGGGTCCAAGATTCCTGCTTGCCGTCGACGGGGGGGTTGTAGTCCTTCACGTAACCGCTGACGACGGTGTCCCCCGACCGCTTCAGGATCTTTCGGCCGACGAGCCGCCCCCCCTCTGACCCGCCACCCGCTGCATCATGCACATGCACACACAAGAAAATCATGTTCGGATTTGGTCAAATCCCGCTTTTAGAAGCATGGCGTCGAATCATGAGCCCGTCGGTTAGCGGGGGGACAGGCTGGAGCTGAAAACCAAACTGCTGTCGACAAACCAAAGTGGCGCGACTAGTTGGTCGGTGCCTATGTAGCTTCGTCGACGCATCGTCGTAGGAACGAGAACCGAACAGGGGGGGATGACAAGGGTACAAACACGACAGAGTTACCATAGCACACTATGCTTCCTAGCACGAACACCAGAAGAGCCAGTGTCCACAAACCTTCAATAGGCAAGCGCGCACATGTGTAAGGAGTACGAGGACTGGCCTGACATAGACTGTAGTAAGCAATAGTCTGAGCGCACTGGCGAGCACTTCACGCATGACCAAATGTAACTCGCGTGGGCGCCGATCTGGGGGGTCAAGCTTGTGGTTTCTCGTAGAAAGTCTTGGATTTATCTACTATGCCCTCAATATGCATATATATACTTGCTTCCACTGCTGTAGTGGTAAGCGAAACATGGCATTTCGCTGGACGAACAGCCGTCGTCGTCTCGTGGAGGACGGTGGAAGGGGCGCTCTGTTGAGCTGTCACGGTGATGGAGCTAAAATTGATCGATGGAGGATTCCCGCCCTCCCTGGTCGAACATGCGATCGTCAACGGAGACCAATACAAGATTGCAAGTCTGGTTACAGGGGCTCGTGACCTTACGGCTGTTCGTCCAGCGAAATGCCATGTTTCACTTGGCACTACCGTGGAAGCAGAGAAGTAGTCTATACGTAGCAGGGGCGTCGTACGAGCATGGGCGCGGTGAAAAAAGCAAGCCACGCATGTGGTGCGATGACTGTGATGGATGATGCTCATATTCAAGACTTCCAGCACTTCCATGTCGACTTTATCACGAGCGAAAGATCGCCCCGGTCGTGATGTGATGCAGCTGTTTGATCTTGTGACTCTCTATTTAGATCTTTGTGGGTTCCAATCTCTCTCTCCTCTGGGTCGAGAAAATCGTGATCTCAAGGTGGTAGGCTCATGGTCATGATGAGCAGCACCTGCAACGGGAAGGCGGAGAAAAACATAAAGAAGTGGATGCCTCTTCTGCCAGCAGAATGCGACCGTTGTAGACTTACAACACTTACACACAAAGCAGTATACATGCACATACACAGCTAGGCGTCTCATCTCCTGCTCCTCACCTCTCCCAGAGAAACCAAACGGGAGGGTTCGCCCAAGAGACAAACGGAGAAGGGGCGGCCGGCAATCTATCGATCGCTGTGTACGCTACTGCATGATATAAAACATAAGGTTGCCTTGAACCGCTTTGGCCCATGCAGGCGCACACAACCAGCACATGAGCGAGGTACGCAGCAATAACGCGTCCCGTTCCCTGCCCCGGTGATCTACTTATGGGTCATGGGGTATGGAGCAGCCTTTATCTCTTCTGTACGTGTGTCTGTGGGACGGTAAATGATTGCTGCTGCAGGCTGCAGAGGCTGCAGAATTGTTAAGTCGCGCCGCTCTCTCGATGCTCTCGAAGCCGACACAGCAACAGCAACAGCAGAAGGGTGGTTGTAGGTGCTGCCTTGTCACCATCTAAAAACAAGCAGGTCCCGACAGCGGAGCAGCTGCGAAAGGTCTTGCCAACAGGCAGACACGCAAACCGCCAACACGCCTGTGCAAGCACCTCCTCTTTGTGTCCATCTCTCCCAGACACAAAATAGTACAGCAGTACTCAGTAGACCGCACGAGACAGCTCGCTCTCACAAACGCCTTCAATACGTGGCAGTGAACGCGTACCAAGGGGCACAAAGCACGAGGGAGGAATCAATCAACCTTTGTTTTTGATGGGGTTCATCCACACCTCATGCCTTTTGGTCAGCGGCTGGCTACCAATTACGCGAACAACGGTTCGACACGCTAGACTCGCTTGAATCGAGCATGAGACAGAGGCGGCCCATACCAGCAAAAGAAGCAACACCGAGACCTGAGTTGAGCGAATTCGTTATGGCACCCCTACGAAGCCTACACCTTCCGCCGCCGAGCTTGTCTCGGAGTTGTCATCCTTACGTGCTCGAGACGGAGAACGCCGCCCGTTCATGCTGTGCTTGATTCCGTCCCGCGCTACCGGTGCCAACCTCGCGCCTCTTTTGTGGTGAAGCTGGTGGGATGGGGTGTATGTTGTTGTTGTTGTTGTTGTTGTTGTTGTAGTAGTAGTTGTAGTTGTCTTCACATATAAAACCGTTCCGATCTCTCTGTACCCAGTACCTTCGTATGTCCGTACACTCAAATCAACTGGCCCCGAGGGGTCCACAAGTCAATAGAAATCAACGACATATATTCTGGAGTCCTCCACTCCCTCTGCGCGCTATGCGAGGTAACAACTGAGACTAGGAGTCACCATCGCAGGCCGGAGAGAAAGAGGTACACCCCCTTGGTTCAATCTTCGTACTTCACAACGCAAGCAGAGACAAGGCCATCTGGCACAGAAAAAGAAAAAAAGAGAGAAAAAAAAGATAGACTGCTGTGTCTTTGTACAAGCCCAACCTGCCGCCATGCACAACATACTGCTGCTGCCGTTCACCTGTCGCCGCACTTCCACGTCTACCTGTCCATGACACATCTGCCACTTCATACGACAACATCTGGGAACAACACGGACACAGGGAGTACTCCCCCTACCCATACACAACACCGTCAAAACTGCCTGTAAGCTAGAACAACCTCTCACTCCTCTCTTTCCACATACATGCTTTTCTTCGCTTTTTGTCTTTTTGTCTATTTCTCTCTTGTCTGTGCCAGATGGCCTTGTCTCTGCTTGCGTTGTGATGTACCAAGATTGAACCAAGGGGGCATACTTCATTCTCTCCGGCCCGTGATGATGACCCTAGTCTCAGTTGTTACCTCGTATAGCGCGCAGAGGGAATGGATGACTTCAGAATATCTGTCGTTGATTTCTATTGACTTGCGGACCCCTCGGGGCTTTTTTGGTTGAGTGTACCTTTTTAGGGTAAGTCAACCTGCGACGAAGGGAATCGACCGTGTCAAGTGTTGGACCAGTGCGGACACGATGGTACCGGGTAGAGAGAGATCGGAACGGTTTTTAATGTGAAGACAATAACAACAACAACAACAACAACAACAACAACAACAACAACATACAAATGATGTAGATGATAATGATACACTCGGTCTTTCTTTACTTATGGTCCTAAAAATATGCCGACACACGGGCGAGAGAGGCCACTATACCCATTGCATATAACACCCACACACCCACATACATGTCAGTGATGAAACCCCAACCACCCGCCTCTATCGGCGGCCACGTCTGGAGGCAATGATGAGATAACGTTCTCCCGTGCCCTTCTCACATTGAACGACATGCCATTACACAACAAGGTAAATATGTTCTCCAGCGCCGCACATGCCCCCATACATCACAACAAAAAATTCAAAGCCTGGTTTGGTGTGTTGTTGTTTGTGTAATGGTTTTGGAGTAAGACAAAGTGGCATCGTAACTCGCTTCGCTCGCAGACACACTTCACGGGGTTCCGGACGCGGTGCAGTGTGCGGTTACAGTGCCGTGTGACTCGCTTCGCTCGAAGGCAATTGGCGAGGTTTCGGGCGCGGTGCAGTGTGCGGTCACAGTGTTGTGTGACTCGCTTCGCTCGAAGGCACTTAACGGGGTTCCGAGCGTCGTGCAGTGTGCGTCACAGGAGTGCCGTGTTGCTCGCATGTACTCAAAGGCAGTTTGTCCGCAGCAGCGTCATGTTCCCCCTTTCGAGGAGTTCCTTATTATGTGCTTCGTCACACACCGGTGTGCCTCTCCTCTCCTTCTACTGCACAAGGTGAATAATTGTTCGACCGTTCAGCAAGTGCATAGACTAAGTCTACTCCCCCTCGACACGTGTTGCCCCACCTAAACCGTTGTACAGAACTCCAGGCCACACACCCGCCCACCCGTCTGGGGCGTAGTATGACCGT